GTTAAAGGACACGGAGAGGAGGAAGTCCTGCCCTCGTCTCACTATGAGCCTGTCCTTGGAGAACCTGTTGGTGTGGTGAGCGCTGTTGTTCACATTGCAGTGGAAGTCCTTCTCAGTCACAGCTGCGGGGAAAAACCGGGAGCCCAGAGGGAATAAAACAGCTAGAGTCTTAGTGTCACGCTTGATGGACAAGCTGGGGTCTGCGAAAAGACAATTTCCTAATACAAGAAATTGTATATGGCCAATAAAGTGATATCTTTTATCTCTAGACCTGGGCTCAGCTCTCTGAGCAGGCAGGAGACCTGGTGTCCCGTGGCACATTGCCAGCGTCCTGTCTCAACCCCGCAGGCTCATGTGTCCCTATGTGCTGCGTTAGCCAGCCTGCACCCTGTGCCTTCCAACACCCAGCAAGACCTCAAGACTTCCAGCCACCTCCAGACCTAATCAGCCCATTGCACTGGCTGCTACAGCATCAGGTAACGACGCTTAAACTGTCGGTAACGAAACTGTCTTGCAATGGTTTCAATCCAATATTTCATTGATGACTCACCCAGAGCCATGGTGCACAAGCTCGTAGTCTTTCTAGTCTTCCTCCAGAGTCGACCTCAACAATCAGCTGTTTCGTTCAGCAGCAAGATGCTTCTCTGAGTGTGTGCGGTTCTATATATATATGGGGCTGGGATGTCAGCAACCAAGAAAGGCTATTGTGAAACTTGTTTTTTTTAACACTTAGAAAGGGCTAATGTATGCCTCTTCACTTTCAGTCCGATGAAGAAGATATGCTGGTGTTGTGCTAATCGTGTAGTATGAAGCAGACTGTGATGGGTTGGTGTGTGTCGAGGAAATTTTAAGATCAACTAAAAAACACACCCCAGTGACCCACATAAGAAAAAATAAAAGTTAAATAATGAAGGGGCAATTGTTTCAGCAACATTTTATGCTGGAGTTCTTTCTCTGCAGGTGAAAGAATTGTGATGCCTCTTTCGTCTGTTCCCCACACTTGGGCTTCTCTTTAAATGACTGCTAAGAAGGTCTTCTCTGTGGCTGGAGGTCACCTGCCCTGGCTGCAGGAGGCTGTGGCCGAGCTGTGACTCAGCCCTGCTGGGGTGCTGGAGACAGGTGTTCTAACTCAGCACCCCACTGTCCTCATGTTCAGAGAAAGTCAGAAATGCTGCTGGTCTGCTAAAGCTCCCTGCTGGCCAGGTCCAGAGTCCTTTCATTTTTGGCAATGTACCCAAATATAATAATAACTATAAAATATAGTATAGACACTATAAAATTCAAAATAACCATTCTCCATGGCAGACTCAGCCTCCCCCCTCCCCCTCGGGGTGCTATCTCTGTTTCCCCGCGGGCCAGGCGCGGTGCTGTAGATGGGGCCGGCGCAGGCTTTGGTGCGACTTGCCTGCCGAAGAGGATGATAGCCTAGCTCTGAGGAAGAGCTTGTTAAAAGACCCCGAAAAGACCCGACGTTTCAGCTGTTGAGTCTTCAGATGTGAAGACGAGAGAGGAACGTTACAGGGACATATGGCAGAGGAGAACAATAAACAATGAACAGAGAATGTTCCTCTATTTTGAGTTGACAGATAAAACCGTGTCATTTTCATGCAACATGAAATTTCATCACAAGTTGCATGATTTCCCCGCAGGGGATTCAGAAGAAATGGTCAAAGACACTTTCCAAACAGCAAAGCCTCTGAGCCATGACCCCTGGGGTGAGATTGTGGCTTAGATAGGACAGAGCAGAAAACTGAGAACTGTAAGTTTCCTTCCAAGAGGGAAAGAAGAAAGCCTACGAGGTCTTGAGGCCTGGGGCTGTGCAGCTGTGGCGCAGGTGGGACTGTCTTGGGAACGAGTGGATCCTGTGGAGGGGCGGGAGAGAGGGGGGTGGTGGAGGATTATTGTGTTGATGGTGTAACAGCTCCTTCCCTTCCACTTAATGTGTTGAAATCCAAAACCATGATCATTGATTATAGAAAAGCCACC